TTTTTTTTTTTTTTTTTTTTTTTTTTTTTTTTTTTTTTTTTTTTTGTTTTATTCTATGCACACAGCATCGCCAAGGTATGCGCGACGTCTGTCCTTGCGAGGGTCGATCGAGATACCCGTGGTAGCTCTGCTTCTCCCGCGGCTGTCGAGGAGAGTCTTTTTTTTTCTCGTCTCTTACGAAAGAGCGAGCCGTAGCCTTACGCTTCCAACGGCAGACTGACGAGCCGAGACTGCCGAGAGACCGTGTCTGCTGTGCTCTTCTACTGCTACGCTGCAGACCGCAGGTATAGGTATACACCTATAACTTCTCCGCTCTCTTTCTCTCTGCTGCCCCCCCCCCCTTTCCCCGCCCCGACGAGGACGAGATGGGGGTACTGGCATCAGCAGCAGTCCCTGGTGGCGCCTCGTCGCCGGAGCGAGTTTCGTTCCCGCAGCTGTTAGAAACAGCCGCCTACAGTGCCCGCAGCCGGGCTGGATGGCTCACCATCGTCAGCCACTTTTGAAGTAGCGTACAACAATAATAGAGAGCTTGGCTGTCGCGCTGACAGGGGGCGGCTGTTCTTTTGATAGGTAGATGTAGGCACCTATACGTATAAACGATATTCGTACCAACTCTCCATGCCTCTATATTTGTACAACTTTTTTTAACAGTTACAATGACGTTAAGTATTTATCGCCGACAATTTATTATAGGCAAGCCTTGAATAGGGCACAAAGTCCTTCGAATACGGGAGGACATTGTCTACTCGGGAAACTAATTTACGGACAGCTGATTTACAGTCTTTTGACAAGATTATGGTTCATTTGGGATATCGGATGGGTCGATGATCATCATCCTTAGCTTTAAAATTGTTCTTGTGTTCATGTAAGATCGAGTTTCAAGATCACTGAGAATGACGATATGGGTACTTCCATGTGCTTTCTTGACAATCGTTCAAAGTTTTTTTCGAGAAATGTACTGCAACCAAAAGTTCGTTAGTATAAAAAAAATAAAATAAAAGTTAAAAAAATACACCTTTATTTTAAATGTATAAACAAGTTGGTCTCAATGATTCGTCCCCATCTTATACGAAGTGTCAACAGGGACGCTACGACATTTAGGAAGCTGCTAGTTGCTTTTACTATATATAGTACTCCCACTCATGCATTTGATAATAACAATGTCACGTCATATAGTGTGCATACAGGGGAAAATTGATCCACTACCTACACACACTTGTATAATTGATCAGATCAAAAGACTCAAATGTGTGAAATGTACAAACTGTTAAATGTACGTACCATAAGTACTCAAAAAAAAAAAAAAAATTGTAAACATTAAACGGTCACAGAAAAACAAGCGTTACGTGTGGCATACAGCTTATACATAATAAACATCACAAAAGCAGGAATAGAAAAAATATTTTAAAAAAGGTGTTTCGTAGCAGCGTAGGACTTAGCTTGCAGCAGCAACACACACATAGTTATATATGTGCGTCTGTATATGACGAGCCAAAGCAGGCAAAATCCTCGAGGGAATGTTGAGTTGAGACGTAGAGTATTGTATATTTTACAGAGGCACGAGTGCCCAAAAAGGTCCTTGGGTCTCTTTCTCTCGCTGTTACCCTTCGCAAGGCATTCTCCTCCCCCTTTTTCCCCATCTCCTTCAAAATTAAAGTTTGAAAAAAAAAAAAAAAAAAAAAAAGGTAGGCAGGGCAGGTATGCCGTAGTTGAAAGAGCTGATGCCGGGCTCTCTTTTTTGGATCGTAGCGATATACATGTCTACGTATACTATGTATAGAAATCAGTGGAAATTATGATGGGAATTACCCCAAAAATATTTTTGTGATGATGTGAAATTACTTCGAGTAGTCACTTTGGGCTGGATCTGGCAAACTTATAATAACATGTGGTACACTTGTGCTGGGCGCGAAATTATATTTATTTGCACTTTGAACTATAGATACAGGTTGCGTTCCAAAATTCAAATTTGTCAAGTAAATGATAGCGCTGCCGTCGATGTCGACTGATCAATCAGCCGCAGCCAGCTGATGTGATTGATTTCGGGCCTTTTTACCTTTTTACCGTGTTAAGTTGAAAAATTGTTAGCTTCATAAATAAAAATTTTCGAATGAAATGGATTTTTTTGATGAAAAGTGATATGTTTGTAGCACACGATTTTATATGTTATGCAAACGTCGACAATAGTGATGGACAATTTTTAAAATTTTTCGCTGAGGTACCTATAAGTCTAGTGGGAACGTTTTTTAGCATCGAAAGTGACCAAACTAAGGAGGGAAAAAGGTGTCCCTTGAGCCAGGACATCGAGTCCCTGGTAAGTACGTACCGACTTCCATACTCCTTTTATCATCCGCTATTTATTCTTTCGTTTTGCTCCCACTGCCGTTCATTGTCCATGTCAGCGGCAACGGCTCTCGAAATGACATTGTGAATTTTAATAGGGCATACTGGGCATACCAGTACGGGAAACTATACTTTAAACTATGGCATGTTATTTGCACCCAAGAGAGTTGTAGACATACGCTCGTAAGGGGGGAGGGATCAACAATACCTGTGCGCTCGTGGATCATGCATGGATGTAAACAAGAGTCGAATTATAAATGACATTGTGCCGAGGCAATAATGTTTCACAAATGGCTCTCTCGGCAAGCGTGAACGGCCTACGCCTGTTATCTCGTCATGGCTCATCATACGGTGTTATTTTCGTGATTAGGATACGTATTATTTACCGTTTTGCTGAAATAACCATCAATTACGTGGATTGTCGCCTCGGAATGTACAAGCATATAAAGGTCAAACGTTTGACGACCATAAAAATTTGTTTAAAATAGTATAAACTGCGAGGAGAAGATATTTATTGTGGGTATAAAAATATTGACTGAAACGCGGGCCAAACTTGTATGGATACTCAATGGAATTCCCCGCGATCCCAGCGGACTGGACGCCATTATTTGGATTACGACTCTTACGTTTAAAGTTGAAAAGGTATTTTGAGTTCCCGGAAGATAGCATTGAACATTTAGTGTGCCACAACCCCCCTCCACGCAATCTTCTCGAGAAACCAAGTGTATGGGTGCGAGGTGCAGCACACCAGAGAATAAAATAAAGGAGCGTTTGAGTTTTCCTGTGCGAAGGGCACGTTTCCATTCACGTCTCTGGCACGCCCCGTCGTTATATAGCACTTTCTTTCTTCCCCCTACAAGTAAGGATTCATAAGTATAGTCAAATCGCATATCGTTTGGATTCGGACGGTACCAATATAGGTATACATGTATAGGTAACGCGTATACTGTACTGTATTGTACCCACGACCAGTGCATGGGTACCTACATCCCCTACATGACACTTGTGTGCAGAACGGCCCCGTGCTAAATGCTTTTTTTTTTTTTCACCCTGCACGACGTTTTTTCATATAGCACAGCATAAGTATCTTACCTACACGCTTAGTCCACAGCACAGGACTGTTACAATGCCATATACTAGTCACCTGTTGATACGTCCCGCGTAGTTCTATTGAATTGAATAAACCATTTTTTTTACCTAATTTGGCACGCAGGGACAACTTATCCTCCACTGACAAGTATTGGGTAAATTATGAATTTTCGGCATCCCCTCGTGAGATTAGTCATTTGTTGATACATACATCTCTCTCCGAATGTTTAATCACGCGAAATTAACAAGTAATACTTTAACAGAAAAATGTATCGTGTCTGTGACATCAACTTTTAGGTTCATACTTTCACTCTTATAGAATTCAAATACATTTAAACCGTTTTACAATCATATTTTCATATTGGTTACCACGTCTCTCAAAGTTGTAACTATTAACAGTTAACTCCACCATAAGTAATTGTTTATTTTCATTTAAATTCTCTCGGGTTGTTGGTGATTTTTTTTTTTATTCAACTTAGCTTTGACAACAATGTTGGTTTTTTTACTTAACTAAAAATTGCGTCACTAATATACATACATCGCAAACTAGGTATACATTGATATTTTATTATTTGGATTCGGAGGAATCATATTAGAAAATTTCGAGTTCTAATTAGACAAACATTTAATGCTCAATTTTTTTAGATATTACTGATTATATAATGTGTTATAACAAATCTAAATATATATGGAAACTTTATTAAATATATTTAAACTTCGACTAATTGGGTAACTTTTTTCAATCAATAACGTGAATTATGATCAGCGGTTACAAATTTTCGTCTTTTTACATTATACTAAATAGCTTATAAAGCTCTAGCAGTGGACAAAGTCGCAATGCCTGTTTAAAAAGCAAAAGAATCCTGGGATAGTGATTCGAAACCATGTACAATATACTAAGAATAACAACTTTTTTGTTTATTAATAATGATAAACAGTTGGCTTAATAAAGTCAGATAAAGGTGAGCCTTTATTTTATTATTGCACAATGATTACGTATTCGAAAAATAAAAAATGATCGGCCTCTGCTCGATCGTTGCCGCATGTATTGAAAACATTTGACGTATAATAATATACATGTAATTATTGTTGTCATCCTGCGTGTAACTCTATATAAAATACTAGGCAAACTAAGCACCTTCTATATATATATAACCTATACGTAAAGTGTATATAAGTATAGTATATACAACCACAATACCGTCCCACCGAGTTACCCAAAGTGTGACGATTAAGTGGACACTCCAAGAGAGTAAAGGAAAAAAAAAAAAAAAAAACAAGTCGGAAGGGAGGAAAAAGGTGGAAAGTGCATTGGTGGTGATGGTGATGAGACGTGCTAATTGAGCCGGTCGGAATGAACTTGCGTAAGGGCTAAAAAGTGGAGCTAACAAGCATATATAGGGACCAGTCAGCCGAACCACCAGAAGGAAAAAAAAAAACAAGGGAGAGAGACATACTTAAACTAACACAACTTCCAAATAAAGTATTTATCATTTTAGTTGTATACAGATTAGAGAGAGTGAGACGGGAAAGAGAGGGGGGGGGTGTGTGTTGCAAAGGTTTACCCGCTTGTTTTCACGAGTAGTGTACATTACGTTTGTTTAAACATGCAAATATTTATATAATATAAATTTATAATAGACGTGTGCTTTTCTGCGTATTAGGTAAGTACTGGAACATAATATCATAGCTGTAATACCTCATTATACCGAGGAGGGGCGTTTGTCTGTCCGTCTTGGGTTCGCGAATGAATGAGCGTATTATATAGAGTAGGAGGAAAGAGAGTTGGCAAAGCAAAGGGACCGCGAGGGAGAGAAAAAAAAAAGAGAGACGAGGAGAACGGGCACATGGAAGGTGGGCAGTAGGTACAGATGCCGACGAGGGAGATGGGAATTAAGTGCGGCCGGCCGAGCAAGCGAAAGAGAGAAAGCAGATTATCGGCAAGTGCAAGCAAGCGGTGGAGAGAAAGGACCCACATGTTTATATATATATATATACGTATACATCGAGACGACTATAAAGTATATAGGTACACACTGAGAGCGAGAGAGAGTCCCTTTTTTGCCGCAGTTTTTGCTCAATATGTTCCCGTCTCTGTTCGTCTCGCGGCATTACCGGGATATATATATATACATACACGCGCAACCGAATGGCTAAGTAAACTATATGTATATACAGGGCGTATAATATATACCTAAGCGAGAGAGAAGCTGCTGCCGCAGTATAAGTATATGGGAGTATCAGGCATTGCAGTGACTGGATAGGTACTTGCTCTCTCCCTCTCTTGCTCCTTCTCGGATTCCCCGGACGTCTTTCGCGGCAGCCTGCAGCCCCATCGGCAGCCCGAGAGTCGCCTTCCTCGCGCAGCCGCGAACAGTACAATACCTACTTACCTACCTTGGATATATTGTAAACCCCGTCTGCCTAGTATTCGCCGCCTCCAGTCTTTCGCCCATTACCCATACCACCTGCTTCCTCTCTTTGTTATACTTATTAAGTATGTACTACTACTGTACATACCTGTCTTCTACTTGGGGAGTGTTTTCTCTCGACCAGGTCCCTTTTAAGTGAGCCATTTCGGGTATCGCTGAGCCGCTCCGGTGTGAAAAATCGGCAAGAAAAGTGCGCGGACGCAGATCGCAAGTCTGATATGATGTTACCTTCAATACAAAGTCTGTTATCTCTCGAGTGCTCCTGTCAGTCGCGTAAAGAATAAAAAATATCCCAAAAGTACAAATAAATTTGTTTAATATTTTGTTGTTGTTGTTGTTGAAACTATGCAATTATTACCTACTATAAATTGTTATTATCGTTATAGCTAGATGTCTCACTGAAAGAGGCTAATTTTCATCGAAGAAGGTGCAACAACAGTTGTTAAAGTGCCCAAGTTATTTGCTATAGGATAACGATGATGATGATAATAATAATGCGTAGGATGTAGGCCTCGATATGCGCCAAATACAAGGGGAGGAAGAAGAAGCGTGACAAGGTGTTCGCGGTGGATATTTCAATGTCAGCTGCTGTCCAAGATGTAGACAAGCTGTGGCTGTGGCCGTTTCGATTATCTTTTTTCTCCCCCCGTACTACAAGTATACCATTATAATTATTATCTACCTGCAAAGATTGGGAGAGGCTATACATGCACTTCGATACACCAGCCAAAGTAGCGAGCTGCCGATTGCCGATTTCTCCGATATAAGGTAACGTTAAATTTAAGCTTGTTGCATATATATATAATAGTTACCCATACATTATAATTACCTAGTATACCTGCTCACATTTACACGTACGTGTACATTCGTTTAGCTCATTCGTGCAGACGTATGTATGTATTTATGTGTATGTGTGTATACATGCTATGCGAAATGACTGTTTAATGTGGACATGCTTGTAAGAGTGCTCGTGAAAAGACAGCGAGATAGAAAAGTCTATATGTATATATCCATCGAATAGCATGTTTATATTATAATAATTGTATCGTCGGTTGCGTCGGCTCTCGATGCATAAATATGTGCTTCATCTAAAATAAGCACCTACTCTTGTGCAAACGACAATAACATTTGCCCCGAGGGGTCATTCAAGTGTATGACTTTATGGCGTCGGATCATATTCACATATCTCTAGGATTCTAAAAATAATATTTACCCTCAGTGCAACTGTGAACAATCGTAACTGTCTCTTGATGCAAAAAACACCACCTCAAGTCTCGGAGGGTATGCCTTTCAATTGACCCCTGAAAGTAGGTGTGCGCATTGTTTATTTCATCGTGAGGGGATTATACAATTATACACACACATAATACATAAATAACAAAAGTTAAATTACATCGGTCACCATAAATAAATAATTATTATGGATCTGACCGAGTTAGATTTCATACATCTCGTTAATCCTATAAAGGTATGGATATACTTACACGTGAGCCTACTTTTCATCGAGATAGTGGTAAAAAAAAGCAGTTAGGTACCTGCGGCATTTAACATATAAAAACAGTGAGCACCGGATGCGAGCAAATACCTATGCCCATATGCAATACCGGTGACGGACGATTTTTTTCCAATGACTATGAAAATGGATGCACATATCTAAGTTTAGTCGCGCATCACCTCGCGCACTTTTACAAGAACAACTGAGCAAAAATTAACTGATCGCTAATGTGACACCTATATATCAAGTATACAAGAACTTTAATTAGTCTCGACGGTATAGACATCGAAAACTCCGCATGGAATAAGTATAGATACTTGTACTTTATCAATGTTTCAGGGAGAAAAAAAAAAAAAAAAAAAAAAAAACGCAGCTCTATAGAGCGCAAATAACAAGCCTCTCTTCGTCCTCACTCCAGCGTGTGTTAATTTGTGTATACATACATATATATACTTGTACAAGGAGCCAGTACCATTCTACATATTTTTCGCATAGGTACCATAGCAGTGGTGGCACAGGCAAATACACTCACATACAGCCACGTACAAATATCAGGCAGGCCAACGTGAGCGCGAATCTTCAAAGCGCTTCTTTTGAGGCACCGACGCGTCTTCTCACCTTGCATTAATTTATTCGTCAGTCAAAAGGCCGACTTGATTTCTATGATGCTTTTTCTCTCTCTCTCTCTCTCTCTCTCTCTCGCAATGTATATGTATATGTGTGAAAAAAGGAAGGAAAGAAAGAAAAGAAACAAAAAAATCACTTGTTATGGTGAATAAATGATATAAACCCAAACAGCGCACGGGCAGCTTGTAATATGTTATTATTATCATTGCCGTACATATATATTGTTTGAAATGGAGAGCCAGAGGAGGCAAAGGGAAAAAAGAGGCAGGAAGATGCCAGGAGGCTGAGCAAGACGGCGAGCGCTCACGATTTTCGTCTTTCATCCCAGCCGCTCCACGCTGCTCTTTTTCTTCCTCCCCCCCCCACTCTTCTTCCTTCCGCCCCCAAGTGCTCATCCGCTCTTTTTTTATGTATATGTATCGTGCTGCCACCACCCAGCGCTCTCTCTCTCTCTCTCTTTCACACATACACTCGTTGTGATAATAACGAGGGCCGATTCACTCTTTGGGTGTGTACTTCTTCCTGCGGCGGCGGTTGGGAACCATTACACAGCTTAACATCCGTATACAACAAAAATGATAATAATAATAATAATGATTTAGAGTGCTAGTTGCGTTGGACGTGCTTCGCGTGATCTCATTATTTTTTTCATTGCCATGGCTATGTTCCATTGCCCAACTTGCACGCTACCCACAGAGTTTAAAGTGCTATGCATATGCTTTTTCGCTCGTCTAATCGTTTCGTACATACGAGGGAAATGCTTGCAATTTTCGTCAAATCAAAAACACTTTTTTACTATTTAAAGTGTCAAACAAATGCGCTTGGATCCCGTAAAATCCCGTATCATCTTTACAACACCGCCCATGGAATCCAGTCAAAGGGATTATCGGCGCTGACTCGTTGAAATCGAAAGTCACGACTTTTCGGCATTTTTTTCTTCACAATAGACAGGCCAATTTTGCGTATTAATGTCTCTGGGTCAGCGATGCGAATGTCCATGCCCACTTAAAATTAAGAGTCCTGGAGGATGATTCGAGTGACTTTTGGGGCCTGAAGGGATTTGCTTGCTCGTTTTAGTACATAACCAATAACCCAAAGTTTATTGAAACACGCTCGCGCCCTTTACAAGAAAAAAGAGCTCATCAGTCGAAACGAGTAGGCAACTGGACGTTTATTGTTCCGTAGATAGTATTAATATAATTATATAATTGTCGCGCAAGGTGGCTCGTTGTTATACCATGTACGTTTAAGAATAGATAGAGGACAACTCGGCTCGGCTACGTAAAAATACAAAAAAGACGAAGGATTATTCAGCTTGCCACGATTTCGAGATAAAAACAACATTTTTTTAAAACTCTTTTTCCCTGAAAACTCGGGTTGATCCATCCCTCATTTAATTCAATGACCGAGTTGACCCCCTTCATCTTTCGAGTAATATCGTTTCCGTACAACACACACCTTAATAAAAAAAGTCCACGTACAAATTTTGTTCCATTTTTTCTCTCCCAGCAAAAAGAAGGCGTTGTTTGGTTGGTTCAGATATATATACGCATCGTATGTGTATTTTTACGTACTAAGGCAAATACAAGTCATAAAAGGCCTCTCGAGAGGCGAGTCCATTGACTCAAGTAGTAGGTATACCTAAGTACATACGACACATGAACGCGTGTAGATTTTTTTTTTTCGAGAAAAGCGAGGGTTTATTCATTTGCTCGCAGGCGCTACATTTACAATATATACCCGAAGAAAATGCCAGTACTAATATTAACGTGCAGTACATATACATGTATACATGAATTATATTATACATATAAAATAATTACCTACATGTGAATATTATCACGTAGGAGTGGTAAGTTACACACATGCATACAGTACAATACACCACCACTATATTTACCATGGACCGTCGATGGTCGATGAAGAGGTCCGGATGTTTGTATAATATATAATATAATATAACGTGTGTGTGTGAGGGCGAGCGCGTCGTATGTACTTATACGTATATACATATATACGTAATTTGAGTGCAAACTTATAGGTATTATTATGTATATATTATACTTGCTAGCACATATGAGCACCGCGCGCGTTCATATGGGGTTTAGCTAAGTCAGGTATACTTGTATATATAGGTATAACAGTGAGAACGGCGCGAGAAAATTCACTCCGCTTCGGCCAAAGTACCTATTACCTATACGTATATATAAGTAGTTACTAAAGCAGCCGATTAATATCAAGGTGAACGGCCCCGTGAACTTGTGCTACAACGAGCCGCATACAGATTCTCTTTCTTAATTGAGCCCGTTTATTCCTCTGCTTCGTACTTCCTCTTATCTGGAAGCACTTGGGTGTACCAATTGATTGATGCGCGAATGATAAAGGAAATCCACGAGTGATAGGGAATATAAAAGATAAAAGTAACGGCTTGATTTCCAAGGTAAGTGAGCGTAAAAATAACAAACTACTGTTTTCCATCAGAGGCACACGTGACTTATGAACGAATACGATAATAACACGTTATGTGCTCTATGTGCATAATAATATGGTTACCTGAGACGGTGATCGGAAAAACAATGAAAGATAAATAGTCAGAAATAATAATCTATTAAACTTATTTTTACAATGTGCTTACGAGTCTCGCCGCGATCGGACCGGTCGCTTTTCAATAAACCGTAAAATCGGCAACTAGTTTTCAAATCGCGTTTCTTCTCCCCCCCCCCTCTCCTCGATACCTTGTCACCCACACACGTATATAATTATAAAACAAACACCATAAACGACGGGCCAAGTTTTACCTATGCCTAATGTAATGCAACTTGTGAGCGTCCATCATCTTCATCGGGTTCTCTTTCTTCTTATTCTGTTTGGTGACAGGACACCGCCTCCACTCGTATGGGAACCATACTTACTTATCTCCTTGGGCCAGCTGAATCACTTGGTACCGATCAACACCCTAACAACGAGCGGAGAAGCCGATAGACAGACAATCAGATTGAAAACTTGAAAGTACAGTGCAAGGGGTGCAGGTAGCTATAGTTGGAAGATTAATAACAGACACCCAGGCATGGCTGCAATAGGATCGGGTCCATCAGATGCATCAATAAGCGTGAGAAACAATTTCGTTTTTTTTTTCCACGTTTTGGTGAATAATAATAATAATAATAATGATGATGATGATGATGATGATGATGATGATGATGGTGTGATTACAGATTTATATATTATACACATATAGGTGATCCAATGCACACCAGGACGTGCTAGGACGTGCGTAAAATTAATGAAGAAGAGAGTGCGCTGAAGCGAGAAAAAATCACTAGGGATCGAGATCGTCGTCGCGTTTCCAAGCAAATGACATGTTTCCTGTCCCGTGCGCTTGGTAATTCTCAAATAACCGTCCCGTACAGTTTTTCGGGTTATTGGGCCGCATGAACTCATGAACTTTGCGAGAAAGCTGTGCTGGTTACTTATCGAGACTTTTAGCTACACCAAAACAAAATACTCATATCGAAGCATATAGGTATACATATACGTAGAACAAGAACAACGGCACTGTTCGTACCATTACAACGGCATGCCTGACGTAACGCGAGCGTTCCAGCGTCGACCCTGGACGAGTTCCGTGAGTACATTATACAACAATACTCGATACAACAATATATATATACCGGATCAAGATTCAGCGCACTGGTATGATGATACAATGTTATGTTCCCGCATGTGGGAAACATCGAGTAAGACTTTTCCACCCCATCCCCCCCTTTTTATCTCTGCGCGTTATTATCATTATTATTACTAGCTATTAACTTTCGTGTGCCTACGAATAAAGTTATATTATCTGGACGCACTCGAGTACCATTGTAATGTATAATATTATAATCCAGTTTACACATATAATAACGTATCTATTGCGATTGCCAGTATACCATACTATACTCCGTTGCTCCAGGTAAAAATCACTTTTGACATTCGACTGTTGCTCCTGCTCGAGCTGGCACTTGGAAGCTTTGCCGCCTCGCGCACCGGCACTTGGATGTAAGTACATAATAATACGTATTATATACCCTGCCGTATTGGGACTTGTGTGCGTAACATAATCGATTGTTGTTCATCATTTTAAGTTGTTATATTATTATTATTATTTGGTACATGCACAATTTGCTCTGTTATGAAAAAAAAAAAAAAAAAATGTTATTTTGCACGTCGCGTCACCGAATAAATGAATTACTGATACCTACGTGTGCTACACCGTGCTCAATGACCTATAGACAAATAATTAATGTATTAAGTATACCTGTACCCTTATTATGCGAGTATCATTTGACGTTGGAGGCACTCGGGTCTGCGGGGCGTCTCACTCGGGGATCATCGGGGCGAGGCTGCTACTTCGGCCGGAAAGCTCGAGCCCTCGGCGCTGTGCTCCGCTCTGAGGGGCCTGTCCCGCGGCCAGGACAAGCTTTGCCAATTGTCGCACGATCACATGTCCAGCGTCGCCCGCGGCGCCAAGCTCGGGATACGCGAGTGCCAGCACCAATTCAAGTATCGGCGCTGGAACTGCTCGACCCTCGACGACGAGAGCGTCTTTGGACCCCTCATGGACATAGGTACGACCCACCATGTCATCGTCATTATTATTATTATTATTATCATTATTTTTTTTTTTTTTTCCTCAACACTTGTATTCACGTCTGATCCTGTTTTACTCCCGGTGATGCACCTTTCTCTTATACGTATGCATAAGTAACCCGAGTAACTAACAGAGACACGTAAAATATAAATATCACTGTGAGAGGGTGATGGCTGTTTGTAATTTGAATTTATGCTGCCAAGACTGGAGCTATATATATATACAGTGTACCTAATATTACGTGGGTACATGGACACCACAGGTAGCGCTCTACATAGGCCTAACGCGCCTTCTACATAATAATATTACACATGTGTATATTTTTTTATTGCTCAATTCTACCTGCAAGATAAATACATAACATTATACATGATTTACCTTACATTGTGTGCAAATTATTACATATGTGTGGGTATATTATTTATGTATCGCGCGAAAACAGGTGGCAGTGGTATTTTACAGTTGTTGGTGGGCTGGCGAGTGATAGCCATTTGGCAAAAAACAACATTTGAAATGCTAATGTTCAGGAAAAATCTAGGTGTTTCATAGACACAAAATATATTTTATACCCTTTCGTTTGTAATGCAAATGAAAAAAAAAAAAAAAATTCTACATCCGGTTACTCCAGTTTTCATCATTTTTAATTTTTTATTAAATGTACTTGCTTGCGCTTGTACATTAAAAAAGCAGAAGAAGAAGAAGAAGAAGAAGAAAAAGAAAAAAAACATACTTAAAAAAATTGATGAATAAATGTGTTTAATGCACACATGGGAGAGTGAATGAGGCTGCACGCGAGGGGGTTGTTTATTATAATAACTATGTTGTTGTTGGGAAAATTGAATCGTGTACTAAAGGATATACTAAAATACATAATATTTATATTGGTATAGGTAGGGTAGGTACGTGTACGTATATACAATTAATGTCCTTATAATGCAATATGCGTTGCATAATGCATAAACAAGTAGTTGTATAAATACATATATAGAATATGATATGCGATTGAGTCAACAGCGAGCAGAGAAACGGCGTTCGTGCACGCGATCACGGCAGCCGGGGTCGTTTACGCGCTGGGCCGCGCCTGTCGGGACGGGCAGCTATCCTCTTGCGGCTGCTCGAGAACCAGCAGGCCCAAGGATCTCAATCGAGAGTGGATCTGGGGTGGCTGCGGTGACAACCTCGAATACGGCTACCAGTGAGTTTCACCTATATACCTAATTTCTCTTCGTTCAACTTTTATTCCCATCCCTGTTATTTTATATAATATAAAACTTTTTTTCACAACTATTATTATTGTCACTTGATAAAAATTTTGATTATTATTATTATCATCATCACACATCAATGTACTTCTTGTCTATCTTTCATCATATACTTATAATAGATTCGCCCAATCCTTCGTGGACGTACGAGAGCGAGAGCGTAATTACAAGAGGCGCAGTCGCGAGCACGGCAGAAGCCTGATGAATCTGCATAATAACGAGGCCGGTCGCAGGGTAATGATTTAAGTGATATTCAAAATAAATAAGAGTTGTTCTCTAACAATACTCATGTAATTTACGTGACAGGCGGTGATTAGGAAATCTAAGGTGACGTGCAAGTGTCACGGGGTTTCCGGGAGTTGCAGCCTCATCACTTGTTGGCAGCAGCTAGCCTCTTTCAGAGAAATAGGTGAGAAACTTCTCCAATGGTTTTTCAAAGCACCAAGATCTCTCGTAAGTACTTAGATAAGGTACCTTCAATTTTTGTTCACACGGAGAATATTATACATCAGTCCACGCATTACTTATATAGTAACAACAATAACAACACCGACAGCGATGCCATTAAGGGATGATGAGTTTTCACTTATACAAATGAAAACAGTAGTTATTAATTACATTATTTTCAGAAATATACCTATGATGACTAAGTACTTATCTGTAGCGAATTGTGACGTTAAAAAATCCCCTCCCCTTCCCGCACCCCGACAGAGGTGTAATACATATGCACCATCAATCACTGCACTTGAAAAATTTTCTTAACTAACCAAAAAAAGCATTTATTATTTTGAATGTTGCAATGTAAGTACAATGTAAAATTATACAATTACACGATTTCTCGTTGTAATCGGGCTCGCACGTTGTAGGGGATTACCTCTTGGATAAATACGATGGGGCGACGGAAGTGAAGGTGAACAAGAAGGGCAAATTGTCCATCAAGGATCCGCGTTACTCTTTGCCAACTGCCAACGATTTGGTGTACTTGGATGATTCGCCAAACTTTTGCTTCTCCAATGCAACCTTGGGCTCCTTGGGTGAGTAAATTCGTAGCGTGCGCTGTGCTGGGCAGCAGACTCCTTATACCTACCTAAGTATTCACTATCACTTGGCGACTATCCTACACATAGATATTGCGCAAAATTTTCTTTTGTACACTTGCAAGCGAATCACTTAACGTTGACCCGATATACTTATTTGTTTGTAATAGACGAACACGTTGTATATTGTTAGTTATTGTACGTGCAGGTACCCGAGGCCGAGCCTGCAATCGAACGTCGAATGGCATTGACGGTTGCAATCTGTTGTGCTGCGGTCGAGGCTACAATACGCACAAGAGCATGACGAGCGAGCGCTGCGACTGCAAGTTTCACTGGTGCTGTCAAGTTCAGTGTAATACCTGTTCCAAGAGTTTTGATATCCATACGTGCAAATGAGATCTTCGAATTCCGAAGATGCGATTTGACCACCGCGTGCCTACACCGTACAAAAGTAGCGCGTACTATTTACAACGGGAGCTATTATCTATTTATTACATATTATGCCGCTAGGAAGCGCTCGCTAACTCACGTTGTTCGTTAATCGTTGTTCATTTTAAATACTACAATGCGCACGCACTCACATAAAATATGGATATACCAAGAGGTGTGATGATAAGCGCCCCTAGCGGCAGAGTAGCCCTCATTCTTTCTCATCAAATCAAATATTTTTTATATTATATTATATGGTTGCGTGCACGGTTTATCCAAATCCAGGGTTATATTGTTCTTTGACACCTGTATTTTATTATTTAAATTGTTATTAGGTAACTTTAACTACGTAGCCGGTCAATAATACTTACTTAAGTTAAAACAAATATTACTAGGATGTAAATAATTATCTCATCTCCCGCATCTACGTTTTGCTTATTGTAGCCAAAACTAAGATTTTGAATATTAAAAAAGTGTTACAGTTTGAATTAAATCCTGAGTTGTTGAACGTAGATTAATGGTGTTTCTACAAGTGTAGTGAATATATCAAATAATCACGTATATACCTACATAGTTTACAAACCTAATGCAAATTTTTCAAGTGTAGGTGAAAAAATATTATTAATGCACTAAGGACCCATCAAAGGAATAATTATTATCCTGTGCCAATAAAAATTGTTTATTGTGAATCATAGAGAAGCAGTTTGGGTAAAAAAAAAGAAAATTATTTTGAGGAATATACTCAACACCCTGGTAAATCAATTAATAATTTAATAAAATACATGCTTTTGTAAATTTGTGCAATAAATTGAAATGGCATTTATAAAGATTCCTGATTATGAAGTTTTAAATTCTCCAACTTTATTAGTTATTGGAAAAAAAAAAAAAAAAAAAAAAAAATGCTAAAATTTACAATATGTTGTGGCGGCTATCTTTGAGATCTTAATACAACTACTATTCACAAATAATTGTGTTTTGAATCAAAGATTCATAGAGATCATGGAGATTAATTAGTAATACTTCTGTTGAATTAATACTATTATTACTAAATAAAAATTTGCAAATTTTCAATATTGTGTGTTTGTGTGTCTTACTTTACTTTTAATCATATACAAATTAAACCATTAACCTTTTATTAACACAATAAAAATGTTATCACAATTGATTAGACAATTTATACACTTTTACTTTCATGATTGATACTTTATACACAAAATTTATTTATTAAATTTATCATCTTGATCTCAGGGATAATTTATACACAGTTTAAATTACATGTACCTTCAAACTTGAATGTCCTTTGTTGGAAAAAAAGTGTGATTAACCATTTGATATTACCATGTTATAGCTACGGCATCTGCGTATTTAAAGCGTTTTCACGCAATCTACATTCTCATTTACAAGTGACGCTACATGGATGGTATTTACACCACACATTTACCATAAAAAATCACATTCTCTCGTATGTCTGGAAAAATATTACTAAATCGTAGGAATCGATTGGCTTGCATTACTTGATGTACGGCATTATTTTCTACAGTTCCAATAAGAGTAACATGAATGAAATGAGAGTCAACTCTGTCCACCAGTTTGAGATCAGTGATAATTTTTTTTTCTCATCGTTGATGGCTGCTTAATTCACGTAGATGATATACCGACACCTTTTATCTTGTAACACACCATACTCGTTACGTTTCTGTAGTTGTCTGCACATAACTTAAAAATTTGTAACATAAATATATATATGATAGAAAATATTTTCATTCATTGAAAGTTAAAACTTCTAAGAATCGTTTACAGCTGGATGTTTACGAAATTTATTTATTATTCGTACTAGATATCAATAACAAAATTTACATAGGCCATCGTCGAACGTGTGTTGTAGTGTCATTATAAAATGAAGGAGCGCAAACAATGCTTTGATGGATAACAGATTATCTGTTATTGTTTTGATCATATTCATAGTCACTCAGTCTTTAATATGCGCAGGCAAACGCGATTCTTATTAATGCAGCAAAAAATTGATATGTACAAGTAATACCAGAACGAGCAAATCCTATGTTTTAATCAATAAAATATCAAACAGGGTTGAAATCTATAGACACCTGCAGAACCTTATTTACATTTCCCTGCAAATCGAACAATATCTCAATAATCAAAACCATTTGACGGTGTTAATAAAAACAGTAATTTGCTCGTTAAAAACTATAAATAATAATTATTACAATAAAAGTATGTACAGCTTTGAGTATTATCGATTCTTAAATTGATCTACAACACTGAACACAAAGGTTAGGCATCCAAACGTTATAACAGAACCGTGATCCACCATTGCGCTGCCCTCCCATCCCTGGTCACTGTAATTACCATCAACGCCCCGATTACTTTTTTTATTTGCACATTTGCAGTTATATTCTTTGTTAAGATTATTATTCGAAGCGGGCTTATTTTTATTGGCGATTCTCCGTATTACTTCAACTGTGTCTTGTTCTTTAGTTTTAAGATAAGCATCTTTTGAAGCATCTATCAATTCAAAATCACTTGGATGTATGCAGTTGCAAGAATATAAAACATTATCAACGATAGTTCCATGTTCACTGTAATTTAACATTTCATATCTTCTTGATATCTGTAAAATTAAGTTTATTTCATTGAAAATTAATAAAACAAAATTTAAAAATTAATGATTTATATAAACAAAGATTACCTCATCGAAAAAAATAATTGCATGTTTTGGCGATACAAAATCGCATGAACCATAATGACTGAGTAGCAAATCTGATTCACCACCAGTTCCAATGTTGAAAGTTTTCCTAGTCATAAATACAGGAGGACCCCCAGTTTGCCCTAAAGGAAACATCAAAGCTCTAGCTTTAAATGAAGTGTTTAAATTTTTATAACACTCGCCACTCGGATTTAATATTTGCTCTACCCTCTGCTGTGCCAAAGCTTCCAAAACAGGTCTTTCCAAAAGACTTATTCCTTCTTTCACGCTTAAACCTAAGCCACTATTAATAAAAACATTGTCTTCCAAGTATTGTTCACTTTCACAATTATTACCAAGCACCACTTCAGCAGTCCTGTCGTTTTGTACTATTTCACATTGTGCATCATCTCTTTTATTAATTTCAATAACTTCTTCAACCTCACTAGTACCACCATCTACATTCATTACATCATTTTCATTTACTCCAGTTATTTCAGGAATAATAATATTATTCTCCTTTATTTCAGTTTTTTTCGTTTTTTCCTTTATTTTCTCTTCACCATTCTGTTCCATTTTTTCCTTTTCATTTTCACTTCCTGAGACGCCATTGTCCGTGATATCATTCACCTCATTCTCCAGTTTTAAAATCTTTTCTGCCTGTACAGCTTCGCAACCATCCTTAGAATTATCTGTACAAACAATTTTTTTGGCAGTGATAGGACATATGAAACTATTTGGCCTGTAAAGATTACAAAATTCCAGTTCTGGCGGATTCGCATAGTGATACTTGACGCTAGCGGGAACTTTCACTCTAGATTTTTGGTTATGCGTGACTTTTATCCTAAATGGGGGATTAGCAGAGTGAGCTTTCCTTAAAAATTGCAGTTTGACTGCGTGTTGATCGATTCTCTGATGAGCAAATTTATCCCACAACTTGATTCTTTCGGTTGCTGCACACGATTTGAGCAAATTCTGATCAATGAAGTGATTCAAATGGTTTGGACACATCCATCGACCACTTGGGAATGCCGTGAGTGGAGGATCTAAGCAGTCTTGATGAAAATATAATGGGCAGTAGTCGCAAGCAATGAGAGGAGCTTTCCTGCAACTTTTTCCACATTCAAAGCATAGTCTTGCTGGTAATGGAATTATCGACCCATTTTCGTAGTATTGAATTTTTCCTGAAACGTCAACAGATATTTATTATACAATATTGTTGAATAAACAGTATTCTTTGAGACAAGAGTAAAAAAAATCGATATTTTCATTCATGTGGCAATCGACTCTACATGCTCGAGTAACCGAGCATCAGATAAAACTAGCAAAATACTGACCGTTCAGTGTTGCTGAGTTATTGTTGTGCCTTCCTCTTTTGTAAGATACAGGATCTATCTTATCTGTGCCGGGAAAAGTTATGGGTAACTGTAATTCTCTGGGTAAACTAAACTCTCTAGGGTTAGACAGCGATGCCGCAAGTGCCAAGACCTCGAGAGCAGACTTTTTCTTTCTCTTATTGCCGGTAATATTATCCTTTTTTAACGCACATCTGCAAGCATGGCAGATCCACTCTCCATTTGGAATGTCGGACACCTCTAAGGGTGGATCGCTGCAACGGAAAATCATGAACATTGAGGGCCAAACGGGATTCATTAAAGTAAACCGTGCGTTATAACTTACTGGCACTGCAAGTGAAACGATGCTGGACATTTATCACAACAAATTAATTCTCCCCCATCGTGGCAGGCATCACAAGAATCCCTGTTGTGTCCTCTGCCAGGTCTCTTGAAATAAACATGTTTCCTCTCCTCTTTCTCTCTCTTGAGCTTCAATGAGCTAGAGTCATCCGATGACGGTGGTGCAATCAATGCCTGGATTTGCTGAGATGGAAAAAAACAACATTTTGGATTTTGGTACATACTAACAATGAACAATAAAATAGTTTAGCAATCAAGTGAATGAGGCAATAACTCACTGGCATCAGTCCACCAGGTGCATTGACATCTATTTCAAAAGGAACTTTTTGAGACATTTTGGCAAAATCACTGAGAAACCTGATGGAATGCAATTACTTAATGTGCAGGAGGCAACAGATTAACCAGTTCTATTTTCAAAGTTATATTATCGATAATAAGTATAAGGAGGAGGAAGAGAGCAAAAGGAACCATCCACAAATTCTCCAGCCACACTTGGCAATAGGTATATACCTAGGTACCTACAATATTGTCTCTTTCACTTGCATCGCTTCTTTTTGTAGTCCATGACGAGAGAGACACTATGCGATACAAACGTACAGACTGCTGACTGCATAATATATCGTGTAGCTGCGTGTGCTGTATAATATATACATACAAATGTATATATGTAGAGTGCATGTATACATACGTACATACACACTACAGTACGTTGGACGTGTGTTGCACTACAAACTATACATATCGTAGAATTCGTAGGTATAGGTAAGTACGCCCTGTAGCTCAGCTCAGTTGAGCTTTGAGCTATTATATACATGTAAAATTAGATTATCACAACTTTAGGTAACTATGGTACCATAAATAATTCATGGCAGTTGTGTGTGTGTTTCTACAGTCTAAATTACTAACACTACATACAACATAGTACTGCGTAAGTATACGGAGTAGTAGCACTGGACGTACAATTTGTACGGTACAAACGTAAATAAAGACTTATTAAAGAGTATACAGTACACACACACTGTGCACTAACATCCATGTCAAATGCATACTCCCGCGCGACGAATGTGCTCTTCTTTTCCAGTAACCGGTTAAGTCGAGACTCTTTTAATCGATAACATCGGTTTCCACCCATCATTCTGAATGATCGCTGATCGCCAGACTTGTTAGAGGCCGAATACGTATGTACATACAATAAATTATACATTATAAATATTTTAAGCGTAAGTACTTTATCAAGGAAAACTATACTTAGTGTCTCAAAATAAGTTGATTAAATAATACAAAGCTCCGAGTAATGATAGATCAAGAGGGACGATGAGGGATGCGTCCCGTTTAATCTAAGTTTTCAGATAATGTTTAGATAACTTTTTGGTGTGAGAGAGATAACATTTCATGCTATTCCCTTTGCACTTAAATGTCCGCTGGAGCTTACGGAGCGCACCCACGACTTTACGCTTTTACGCACACTACAACGTAAACCCAGTAACCCATAGGTAAACCGCATTTTCGCGGAAAGGCGGAAAATTAAAAAATTATATTTTCCAATTAGTGGCCTGCGGCGGTGGGTGGTGGGCGAGTACGAAAGTGCGGGGGTGCTCTCTCGCGAGTGTGAACCGGCAGTACTGGCACAACAAACTTTATGAAATTAAAAAGCTGGTATGGGAATAATGGTAAGGATTTTTTAATTTTACCGAGACATCGATTGAAGAAGTCAAACTTTAAATTGTATTAAATGTAAAGTAATTTTATGTAAAAAAATGTGTAGATTATATTCTATTCTCCGAGGATTAATTTATTTAAAAAAAAATAGTGTTGTAACAAAATAAAAAACTTTGCTTTATCTTGAATAAAACAGCTCTCTCTCTCTGAAAAATTTGAAAGTGCGGCATTTTTTATTTTTTTTTTTAATTGCCAAAAAATTACATGATGATAAAAATTGTTTGGATGATAAGTATAAAAACAAAAAAGTAATGACAATGCTCCTAGCAAGTCAGTACAAACGACGAGTCACATCATTTCTTCGATTTTTTAATTTTATTTAAATTTCATCAATATCATGGGTACCCAAGTAATGCGTAATGACACGATGAACAATTATTAAAAAATATAGTATTTTCTACAATTACAATTGTTATACATATAGTCATTAATGTAAATATAGTGTATATTATGTACTACGTACGATGCAGGCGCTTCACGGGGAAAAAAAAAAAATCTCGTCGCTCAATAGAATCATCTCCTAGTGGCAAAAAATTTTACAAAATATAGTGCAAACACGTTTTTTCTATACACAGTAAGGAGAGAAGTAACTTTATTTTTCCTCAACTCGTCTGCCATTGAAAATTTTGAAAATTTTGCCACTTGTAGCTAGCCACCATATTACCTGCTCGCTCAACATAACGAGAGCGCATATTTTTTCGCACATTAAACTTGAAAATAAAGATGCTGGCTTAAAAGTTCACATTTTTGCGCATGCAATGAGCATAAACGACATTAGGTTTATTTTCATATTATTCCCATCAACATTTGTTCAGTACTTTTCCACGCACTCGTAGGTGTTATTACTTTTATCATTCAACTTATTTGTTCTACCATTTATCTCCCCATATTTATATAAAAAAACTTAACAACAGTTGTTCACACGTTGAAAATGTATTTTTTTGCCTCTTGTTTCATTATATAAAATAATAAAGAAAGAAAAAAGTACGATTGATACTTTTTACGTAGACGCAATAATAAATTAAAAATAAAAAACAAGCTATAAACGATTAATTTTTTTTTATTTGCAGAACGCAAAAATCTCGGTGTTATCTTCTCTTGAGAGACGATGCGTAAGTAAATGCTCTACAATAATATCTTTCTCTTTGAAAGAAAGGCCTATGTAGTATCACATACACATGTTCAACGTATCTTCTGTACAATACTCATGATCAGTACTCGCGTAAAAAAAAACTTTTACTGTTTTTGTTAAAGCAAAAATCGATGCATATACATATCCATAATAAAATTTTCTGATTAAAACCTTGAGGCACGAAAAATATGTTTCTCCTTAAAAACCATTACAACTTTTTTTGCAAACTTTGAGAAAGAAATTTAGTAATGAAAACAAAGACACTATCCTGAAGAAAACGAAATTCGAGTTGTGCAGTAACTTTTTTGTTTAAAACATTCCACAACCCACTTGTCTTGTTTACGTACAAATTTTATTCGTTGAATCGCGAGGAATGATAATCTTATACTCTAATGGCTATTGCGCTTTATGAAAGAAAACGCCAAAGAACATACCTACACTATAGTTGGATTATTGCCACTTTATAGTTTACAAGTATTTGTAGACTATGTCTACCACCATAGAAGATATAAAATCCAAACTTTTTTTCACTGACGTTTCATTCCGTTCAAATTTTCACTCTTAATTTAACTATTTATTATTTGTAACTACCAACATTTATGTGCTAATATTGCTATATTTTGTTTTTACCGACTCGGTATTAAAAAATTTTTAATGAACCGTCATGACGTGTATTCCACTTAAACTCCAAATATTCAATAATTTTCTTGCTATCTCCCATTAAATATATCGTGATGTTAAATTTATGTATTCAAGTTTACTTTTATAAACAAGTTTCTGCACAACTTTACATGTTACCCAAGTGTTGATCAGTAAGTTAATAGGGCTGTAACAGTTGAGTTGCATCCATGAAACATTTAATACGTTTACATTGATATGCAAATAAAATCAAACATTATTCGATTTTATTACTATATTTGGTAGTTTCCGACCAACCCAACATATTCTGTTATTCTTCATCTTGTTATTTTTTTCATAAACGATTCCATTTTATGCTGCATAAAAAGCCATCTTTAACGAAATATCATAACTTTTATAAACTTTTCAAGTCATTAAATAAAACGTACACTTTTTTCGTAACGTTAATTACATTTCTTTTATCGTATAATTCAAAAAGTATATACCCACTGTTGGTTTGTTAAAATATCAAAACAGTTTTTTATTTATTTATCATCAGTAACGACAATAACATTAAGATCTATCACTAGTTTTTCAAACAGCATGTACAAACAACGTAGTCGTATAAATAAGTGTATTGTGGATCAACATTTTTCTTCAATATGCACAGGTCAAGGATCTTGTTTTTTGGAGTGATTAGTAGGTCCCTCGGTGATCTGTAATTCTCAAGCAACAAAGTATAGAGCAAAACAAAGTAATCGCCGGGTAAATGTCACTATGAAACGATTAAAATTTTTTGTGATAAAAAATTTTTTTTTTTCAATATCACTCAAACAAAAGTCCGTATAAAGAAATATTACATATAAGGATGTAAATAAATTTTTCGGAAATCATCCGGATATCGACTTTTGCTTCGTCAATTACTTTTTGTTAATATTTAATCGAATGTATGAAACTCAATCTCAATTCAATTTCAATTTCACACAATTAAACAAAGGTAAGAAAAAAAAGTATAATAAATGGCAAAAAATAATTGCAGTTTTCAAACATACTTTCTTCCAACTACGTCTCAAAATAATAGTATGAATTTTCAAATCTCTAAAAAATATAAAAAAATAATTCAATACTTTGATGCGTAACTAAGATTACTGTATAATACTAATACTTGCAATAAGGTACAAGAATAAAATCAAATTTTACATTGGATTCGTCGAGGAATCGAAAAATCATTACATACATATCTTAAACAATAACTTTACAATATGTAGTCTATTATAATTTATGTTTGTTAATCTTTACACCGTTAAAAAATGTTTACGCAAACAAAATTGCAACATTTTTGCTTCCATCCATTTTAACAAAGGATATCCTCATCATCCTCGAAAATGAAAAAATTAACGTCAACATATCCTCTCGTCCGATTATTCTATTAATCATGATTGTCGTGCACTCTAAGCACACAGTCAAATAAATTTCAATATTTACACAACTAAATGTTGCAATGACACAAGTTTAAGTTAATTATTGTTATTGGTGTTGTTGTTGTTGTTGTTGTTGTTGTTGTTGTTGTTGTTATTGTTGTTATTATTCGTGCTCAAGGAATGACCAATGTTGTCGATTTCACGCTGAGCTCGCGATATTTTGACTTTGTCTCTAGGTGTGCCATCTTCTCCTGTCTCCATAGCAAACATTTTCATTTTTTCCTTGAAGCTTAGTTTTTCAGGGACAGCTTGCGTACTTTGTTGCAATCTCTGTTTTTCCGCCAACCTCTTTTGTCTCGGATCCCTATAGATTAATCATCAACTCGTTACAATGAAAAATTTGAATATGCAATGATTCAGACTCATTTTAGAGATGAAGAGAAAAAATAAATAAATAAAAATAAAAATAAAAATTATGCTTACTTATAAACTTCCTGAGCGCCTATCACGCCGGGTGTTGCTCCTTGAAACATATTTCCTGGACCTTCGGGTGTTTTCGGTGAAGCCAACAACATTTCTGCATCGTTTATGAAATTCTACCAAAAACATTTAATTATTCAATAAAACTATGTAAACAAAAAATAATAAATAAAAAACATCTACCACTGCATGACACATAAAATACAACTCTAAAGTAAACATCTACTAAATGGTTTCGATCGTCTTTTCAACTCGTAAAAATAATCAGTCAAGGAAAAAACACACATCAAAAATTGAGCACTAAGTAAATGCCAAAGTTCAATAAATGCACGCTTGCAATGATGGCAATGGCAGTATCGGTAACAACTTATGAGTGGGCGATATGTAGCACATGATGATTACAACTCTCGTTGTTGGGGTAAAACATTGCCACATGCAACAACAATAATAGTAGTAGTAGTAATAATAATAAGAAAAATAACATAAAAATCTAATAATTATTCATCAGGGTACCACTGGAACCTTGGTATACCTTAAAACATTATCTGCCTTTGGACGCATTTTGTAGGAAAGTTTGCTACTTGAAAATTTTCGGTTTATAACGACTATTGATCAAGTTTTGTTTCAGGTCATTATTGGAACATTATATTGGATTTTTAATAAATATTTACGTTTGGATCTTCTCTAATAATATCCTTTGAAATGGACGACGGTGACACGATATTGGATGTATTGTTGTTTCGTATCGGCAATTCTGTATTTGCATTGGGATCATGAAACGATACTCTTTTCGTAGTCGTTGTACCCAGTATGGAATTCGACGTGGTTGAATTATTCGAGCGCAGAGCACTTTGCTGTGACATTACTGCATAACTTGATCCGCGTTCTGGTGGTGGTGGAGCCTCGTTACCGCTTTGTGAATCTTAAAAAAAAAAAAAAAAAAAAAAAAAAGAAAAAACAATTTTTTGCTGTGTTTTTCATAATAATTTTACGTAATATTGTAATATCAAGCAATGAATACTCACTCGGCGAAATGGGCTCATCGATGACGAGATTGTCCAATCTGAGCATTCCTGGATGCAGTTGCTGCTGATTTCGCAAATTCGTCTGATGCTGCTGATACATGTTTTGCATTTGTTGTTGCTGCTGTCGCGCCTCTTCCTCTTGCCTTCTTCTTTGGCTTTCGTCAAATTCGGATTGTCGTCTCTTAAGTTCTTCCATCCTGCGTTGTCTCTCTCGATCTTCGTTAATCTGAGCCTCGATACTTGCCTTTTGACTAGCACTCGACTGACTAATACTCGAGGACCCGTATGGCGGCGAGATGCCCGACTGACTGTTTACCGATTGGTTTTGTTGTACATAAGGACTGAAATTGTTTGACGTCGTAGTTGGCACTTCGTTCTGACCGCCGTACGATGAGTTGCCCAATAACCCTTGTTGGCTGCTAACGGTGTGGATGGGCACGTTTGTCATTTGTATTTGACTACCTACTGGCTGCGGCGACAGAGCTCCCCTGCCAGACTGATTGAGCGCGTTTCCACGCGAAAGACTAGGATGCAACTGTTGTTGTTGTTGCTGCTGCTGCTGCTGCTGCGGCGGTTGGTGGATATTCATTTGATTGCTTCGATCCTGAGCGGCGACCGAGCGTAACAGTCCTTGAACCCGCTGGGAAGTGCTTTCGTTTTCTGGATCGTTGCTCTCTTCGTCGTCATCTTGTTGTTTGGCGGCTTCCTCGGCGCGCTTTTGAAAGTCCCTTTCAAGCTGAAAAGCACGCAGCTGCTCCTCTTGCTGCGGCGTTCGGCAAGGCAGAGCACTCAGGTCGGCAATCTGTTGATCCCGCCACTGTCTCACAACTTCCCTCCGTCTAGCTTGCTCTTTTTCTCTTTCCTCCCTCTGCCAAGGATTCGTAGCGCTAAACTGATATTGTCGAGGTTGCTGTGAATTTGTAGCCGACGTAGGATAATATCCGCCCCTAGGAGGGTCCTGCATACTAGCAGTGTATCTGCAACGACCAATATGATGATGTAAGGATTATCAATGCAAAAAGATGAAAATATAACATACCTCGAGGAGGGATCCAATTGTGTTGTGTAAAGCGGATGCGTCAGAGTGTTTGGCACTGGCGGGGGAGGGCTGCCAGTATGCGGCAGAGCAGGTCTCACGGGTGGATTGTCATTTGTGATGTCACCATCGATATGCGACTCGGGACCGTTACTGAACTGTGGCGGCCCGTTTTGATAGTACGTACGGCTCGTCGCACCAGTAGCATATTGTCCAGGTACCTGTTGTTGTTGTGGTGGTGGCGATGGCTTGTTAAACTGCCCGTACTGATTGTACTGCTGAGCTTCAGGAAAGTATCCATAATTTTGTGCAGGCTGTCTGGCGGCGTAGTTGGGCGAGGTGGGACCAAGATTGGGCGTAGAACCGAGCGGCCGATTGGGTCTGATTGCGCCCTGCTGTTGCAGCCCAGCTGGACCAACTCTAGGGTTGTATGTGTTACTACGATACGCGTTCATGTGTGGAGGCAGCGGACCACCACGCAGTTCTCTGCGCCTAACTTCCTCCTGCATCTCCTGCAACTTTGCCTCCTGTCGGATTATATCTCGAGAAGACTGAGATCTGACTGGCGGACCTGGCTGCTGCAGGCCAGGATAGCCCTGCGGCTGCAGCTGCTGCTGAGGCGCCTGTTGTTGAACCTGTGGCACGTACGCCGACATTGGCCGCTCTTTGTTCTGGCTCATGTCGATCAAACCTCGATTGAGTGAACTTTCCGAGCCTCGCGACAGAGTTTTTTGCAAATGTAACGGACTTCTGAAAAATGGATTACGTTTGGTGTTAATAACTTACATCGTAGAATCGATTTTTTCAAATGGTTCGTCTTACCTGTCGTCGGAAGACTGGGACGGACTTTGTTGTTGCTTCAACGATGGCTCTTGATTCCTGTAGACGCTCAAGTTTTGATAAAATCTTTCCGCTTCATTACCCTGCAAGCTGTTTTGCCCGTGCAAGTGGCTCGGATTCAAGTTTGGAGACGATTGTTGTCTGTTGGCCAATCCACTCGGCGGTAAAGTGCCGGGACTACTGGGATCGTGCAAATTGTGACTCGACCTGTTGGATCATTAATTGGCAATATTCTAAATTTTCTTCGCATCATTTTGGTACATTATTTTCAGCAGCATATGTCGTGCGAGTAGTATTGCATGTCGATTGTACGTATGAAAGTGACAAAAAACCAACCTCGAGCGCAGGGAAGGGGCTCCGTTCATCGCAGGCATGGGTGGTGGCTGGACCGGTGGTGTGACACTGTTGCTCGAAGATGCCCTGCTGTATCCGGGGTTAAAGACCTCGTGCTGGAGTTTGCTTTCATTTCCTACATCTGTTTCATTATTACATGCGTTATAATTACGATGAGCAAATAAAACCCAGTGACGTCGTGTCACCGTGCCGATACACATTATTTCATCGTCTTGCGTATGTTGGTGGTGTTACTTTTATATTTGTTAAGATATTCCAAGGTGAAGGTATATTGGGGTAAAGCATGGGGCGATCCATGAGAGTGCGAATGAGTGAAAAGCTCTAGTGCGTGTACACGCGCGTGAGCGATGAAATGCAAAAAGTAGTTAAGTATTAGTAAAGCGGAGAAGAACAGAGAGAGAGAGAGAGACGTAATTTGCTTTTGTAATCAATTATGCATGTATAACGCAAAATAGCAGTGATGATTGCATTGTGATGTACTTACTGTGAAGAGCGGGAACGGATTTGCTGCTGTGTATTTGCTGCGGAGTGGGTGGCTCGTGTCCTAAGCGCGACGGTAAATCACGTTCGCTCATGCGACGGGGACCTGTACGGTGGTGATGGAAGCGCGCAACAAGATGCACAAAAACATAATGCAACATTAACACATCTAATTTTTTCTTACATGCTCGTGCTGTATATAGACGTGCAAACATGCTATTGATATAGCTATTGTTGCAACATCCACCAAATTTGTACACTCATTCGAGAGTTGAGTTACTTTGAAGATTAAAGTTGCAATAAAATGATTCGATGATAATCTTCCAAGTATCCCTCAAATACTCTTAAGGATTAACGTAATAATGATGATATCAGAGTAAAAATTATTGCTATAATATTAAGTTGTGTGAATAAGCTCTTGTAAGTACGTATATTAAGCATTCACTGTCAAAAGCATGATATTATTGTACAAAAGTTTTGAGGTAAACAAACACAAGACGTGCAACAACAAAAATGTCTGGACGACAAAATGGTTAGGTAAAAAGTATCTGTATTGATGGACGTTTTTGTTTGCTGCGCGTATCGTGTGCCCGTTTTATGTACAGGGTAATAATATGTGATGTGCCCAAGTGTAATCTATGCATCTCTATGACATTACAATTAAAGTATACAATATTTTTGGCATTCGGACGATCGAAACCTCACTAATTAAGTCTATTGTGACGAAAAGTATGGTATGAACAAGTAAACAAGAATAATATACCAAAGAAATAATAAAACACAATAATAATCTTGATAATGAGTTAAAACGAACTGAACCAGGCTGAGACATTCGAGTGCATCACTAAACGACGAGCAGCAGTGCGTTTGACTTGAAGATCATCGCTGGCTTACGAGATTCTCCAAGATTATCCAGGCGCCGCTGTTCGGGCTGTTGCGGCTGAAGCGCATCATCATCATTATCATCATCATCATACTCATCATCATCATCATCATCAATCCGCCGATTCAAGCCCGGCCGCTCGAATCGTGGAGTTGGCTTGCGCTCCGAAACGTCGAGATCGCTTTTCGCTTTTCTTCTCCAAATCATCATCCTCCTACTACTGTTGCTGCTACTACTACTACTACCACCACCATTAGCCGCCTTGGCCCTGACGTTAGCCTTGCACTTTCTGAGGTAGCACCTGTGCCTCCTACTGCACGGCTGCGTCAACTTTTCCCACGATTTGCTGCGGTTGTTTGTTTGTTCGTCATTGTCGTCGTCATCGTGGCAACGCTCTTCTAGTTCGTCCCTCGAGATGTCACTCGTGCTCTTGGACAGTTTGACCGAGGATTGAAATGAGCCAATGGAGGAGGATCCCGTCACGCTCTCGTCGCTCCTCCTGCGACCGATCGATATCGTGCTCTTGATCGTTATACCACCGCTCACGGGAAACTCTATGCACTTGCCCGAAATCTCGGGTGCTGAGACTACGCGATTGTAGCTAGGAAAGACCGTGTACTTGGCTCCTGGACTGTCGTGCCCGTCGAACGGCACGTTGTCGTTGGATGCGTGCATAGAGTCGAGCTCGTCGCTCGAAGCGAGATCTTTGAGGGACCAGTACTTGGAGAGGCTGTTGATTTTCGTTGTTTCAATAACTGGCGCTTCTCGGCACTCTCGCGGCTCGCAACAGTCGACGCTGAACTCTTTCAGGATCGCGGGCAGCGAGTGGTTGCGAAAGTGCTCGAGTCGCAAACTACCGGATATCAGAGTTCGAAGGCCTTGCTTTGATTTCTTATGCGCCACGTCCGAGCCATCGACGCTATTCGTTTTGCCCAAAGACTCGGCCTCGGCGTTGAATGGTATAAATAGGGGGGCGTCCGTATTGTCGAGGTTCGCAAACTCCTTTAGCTGCTCGATTATTTGCTCTTGCTCCGCCAGAGACAGCTTCGAGCTTTTCATTGTCTCATCGCTTGTTTTGGTCGTATGTTTTTTCCCTCGTCTGTTCTCCTCCTTGTCATCGTCTTCTTCTTGGTACTCGAGGGAACCCCTAGCTTGGATATCCAGTAGAATCATGCTCCACTCCTTTTCCGGAGTCGTGGAGACGCTCTTGTTCGATCGGAGTAGTTCACTCTCCGACTTGAACTTGTCGATACTGGCTCTGGTGCGCCTCTTTAAATCAGCGCTTGATGGAGAAGCTATGTCTGGCTCGGACAGAAATTGCCTCGAACCGGCCAATTTACGAGATTTTAATTTAATGAGCCCTGCCTCACCCAGCTGCGAAAAGTGTTTGGCCAGAGCGGCGACTCGGCCGCAACCAAGGCGAACTTCCTCTGGCGATTTCCAACACTTGTCACCGTCCGATTCGTCCTCGCTCGACAAGTCGCTACTATTCAACCCGCTCAGGTCGAGATTCAATTCTGGCATAACTGTGTGAAGCCTGGGTGTCGATATCACGGTCGCCTCGGTCTCGAGAGACGGACTGTCGGAGGTGTCACGATTTCCCGAGTTGTTTGTCATTTCCTCGGTAGAGCAAGCCTTGTCCGCTGACCTATCGTCATCCTCGTCGTTGACGTCGTCGTCGTCGTCGTCGTCGTCGTCGTCGTCGTTTTCCAACTCCTTCTTTCTCTCGTTTTCCTCGTTCCGTTTGACCGACAAAGATTCGAGGTTCATCTGTTGTTTGTCCTGCAAACGATTTTCTACTTTTTGCTTGTCCGTTGCTTGGTCCTCTACAGTATAAACGTAACAGGATGGCTCAGGAGGGGGCGGTATCGCCGATATGTCGATACACTCATCTGGGCAGTTTGCCTCGGCTGGAAACACTAATTCACTCTTGTCGTCGCTGTAGTAGCCGTACTGTGGGGCGTAGCTCGAACTGGTCAAAGGCATCGGTTGCTGCTGATGATGATGATGATGCTGATACTGCGACTGAAGCAACGTTTTCCGTTGGGGGTCGACGTGCAGTTGCGCTGTCGCATAGCCGTGGGTGTATCGATCGGCGTATTGATTCGGAATGGTCAGGAACGTCTCGGCCGTGGGTTCTAATATTACGGGTATGATTGGTCTGTGCTCACTGTTGCCGCTGTTGGCAGCCGCCCAGTAACCGAGACGCGTTGGGCCAGCAGCGTTAATCACGTCGTACGACATTCCGGGGTTCGAGTAGACCTCGGCGATGCCGGTGCTGGTTATTCGAGTGCTAAGGGGTCGGCCGAGTACGGGACAACCTGGTACTAAGCTGCTTGTTCTCTTAGGTAGGTAGTTTGCGTACGACAAATGATTCGCGGGCACACAGTTGCGATAAGCTAGGTTAGCGTTCATTACGCGGCTTTGGGGGACTAACGAATTGACGCGGGGCATACTCGCACCTGGCTGTGACTCCCAGTCGTCGACGTATTGTTCATGGTAGACCTGGCCGGCTGTACGACGGGGCTGCATGGTTAGTAAATTGCCGACAGAGTGCGAGGAGGTTTCACCCGAGGTTCTTTCCGTTAGTCTGGAAGGGTCTAGGTGTTCCGATTTCGGGCGTTTCTTAGAGTTTGCTTGAAAAATAATTGTTAGTCGAAGCATTAATTTTTATTGCTTACCTCCCCGAGCACCACTCCCCCCCCCCCCTTTTCCGAGTAAAAAATAAACTTTCAAATTTTCTCATACTTTGCTTACAATTTCATACAATTTTTATTTAATTTGTATCGTTTACTACTTTTCTAATTCGAAAGTTTACTTTTTCTTTCTTTTCAATAATAAACACATTTCACGTGACGAAGCATTAGTATGCTAGTTGAGCTTTAGGCAGTAGTAAGAAAGAAAGAGAGAGAAAGCAGTCAAGAAATGAAAGTTATTTTGACAGAGATCTTATCGAGAGCCGATTCCTTTTCCAATGATTTGTATTGTTTGCTACTATTATTATGCGCTTGTTATGAAAAATCCAATTCCCGAGTGGGGTGCATTTTTTGTCGCCATCGACTACTTACTTCTACTTATAGTTGGAGAGGGTTGGGACAGAAGTGTCGCCAAGCCGTGATAAATGGCTCCCTGTTTCGCAACCTCCAGCGTTACTATGGGACCCGTTCGTACGAGGTACTCGGCAGCCCTACGACAAAAGTCATGAAAAGTTTTATCACGTACATGATGACTACTTAAAAAATTTTTTAAATATCGCGTGTCTTACTTTTCTTGAGTTATACCAACTAAGCTTTGCCCATCGACTTTAAGTAGTTGGTCACCTGCTGCTAGTTGGCCGTCCTAAAATTTTGTCGTATAAATTGGTTAAACAAAATGAAATGGGGGAAAGAAAAAAAAATTGTAAAATCATCCACGTACCGCATCCGCTGCCCCTCCAGCAACGACGCTTTTGATGTATATACCAAGTTTGTCTTGACCAGCGCCCTGTCGAGAAACACATAAATACAAAAAAGATAAGCATACCGGTGTGTCTGGAGTTGATGTTTTTTTAAAATACCGACAACTACCTTTGCCGCAACTATACTCAGTCCCATTCCGTTGGACGATTTGTGAAGCTTGATGAGCTTGATTTCCGGCTGATTGTGAATCTGTGGCACATGACCGCTATAACCAACAGACCTGTTGCTCATGGCGCTGGGGCTTCTAAACTGTTGGCAAGAGAATTTAAAAGAGTAGGTAAAGGAAAAAAGAAAAAAAAAAAAAAAAAAGTCTCACGCTGTGGTGGTCGATCATGTATATGGTCCAGTATCCGCTGCTCGTCGGCTGGGGAGCCATCCGGCAGAGGCCGTCGCGCTGCAGGGGCGCCAAAAACTCGGCCAATCCCGGTGGTACGCCCCTTATGACCTCGCAACTGTAGCCATCCTCGGGTAAAAGTAGGGCCAAATTGAGGGCGAGATCTTCCTCGAGCCGTATCTCCCGGCCATCCGTGATCGCCAACGAGTCGGCAATGTTTTGTGCCACCTGACATACGTCACGAATAAAAGTAACCACAAATTTCATGCTGGCAATCAAGGTGGATAAAAAGACTCACTCGGACAACCTCCTCGATGAGCTCGGGTGGAAGCCTGGGCTCGTCGGCGGCTGGCTGATATCTTTGCAAGAGAGCGCGCACCTGTAGCGAGTTCAACTTGAAGCAGGACGAACTGAGCATGTCGAGTTCCTCGGAATTGTACTTGGGTGCCTGTAAAAGGTGGGTGGCCTGCATTATGGTCGCCAGATGGCATTGGCTCGCGAGCTCGAGGCCCTGGCGCTCGGCCCAGGTCTCGAGGGCGTTGAGCCGTGCCTTGAGCCGCCTGCCGAACCACCTGACGCAAAGATTGCCGTTCGATATGAGGGCGTTGAAGGCCGTTGCGTTTATCGTGTGAAACAAGTGGCTAAAGAGCTGTATCGTGAGGGCGGCGTTGACACGGCAGCGACGCAACAGGGCCATGCTGTTTGAGAATATCTGGAGGACGCCGGCCTCCTTGGCCGGCTCGTCGGCGTCCGCCATAAATTGGGACATGGCAGGGGCGAGCTCGAGGGATATACAACGCACGAGAGAGTCAAAGGCCGTATGGACGGCCTCGGCGAGTATATCCTGGGCCTGGGTCGAGAAGGCACCCACGTGGCGATCGTTTTTCAGCATGTGCAGCAACTCCGAGCCGTTGGCCAACCACAGGGCGAGAGACGACGCGTCCATGTACCGCTCCTGCAACCACATTACCTTTGTTATTATACACATATATATATATATATGTATTTTCCCGTCAACCTAACCTTGCAAGTATCCAACAAAGCACCCTCTCTGTTCTGGGCTACATTATTGGATATGCAACACGGGAGACGACTGTTTGTTGTCTTCTTTTTGTTAATGTAAATAAAAAAAAATGTGGTTATTTTTAATATGTCCAAATATCATGGAAATGTCGGTTTCGGTGATTAAAACATAAAGAAACAAAGCTCGGTAAATTTCAGTTAACCGATCGGGCCACCACATTTATAATACTCTCGTTTGGGAGGTGGAGAGTCGATTGAGTACCTAATGATAATAATGCTGATGGGAAGAAAAATGAATAAAGACGGAGACTGACCTGTATGACCTGTTGGATCATGGTGGCGACCTTGGCGAGCATGACGGTGAGCCGGTGGGCGCGCTCTGTCGGCTGAAGCTCGGGCCTGTAGTGGGTGCTGGCGCGATACCGGGCGGCCAGATAAAGGGTGTAGGTCGGGGCGAGCTTGAACTGAGGGGCCGAAGGCTCGACGTCCGTTATAACCGCGTGAAGAAAGGCTTCCTCGGTCTCCTCGAGGAACTCGAGCACCGCCGGTAGGATCGGATCGGTGCCGCGCGGCTGCTGCCTCTCGTTGTACTGCGACAGCCTGTCATTCGATTATTCACTTATCATAAGTACCAATGGTATTTTATTGCTTTTCTCGTATCATTATCATCCACCCGTTGCCGCGTTATGGACATTTTAACTTTGCCCTATCGCTGCGCTACAGATGACATGAGTATTATAAAAGACACCGGATATTATTATATAAATGTACCACAGTACCCGACCAAGACAATTGATCGGTATATAAATGCATTTTTTCTTTCTCTTATTTAATAGAAATTCGGTTTATTCGGATCGACAAATAGACAACATGATCCTGCCCCCATGTGAATAAGCCTCGGGGCAGGTATGCACGATTCCGCAGATCGATGCATGATAATAATAAGTACAATCATCTGTACCTACACAACTGTCACGTTGTAACTGTAAGAGGGGGGGGGGGAGGGAGGGCGAGAGTTCACATTAACATTAACATGTTGACGATACTTACAATAGATCTCTCTGCTTAACATGTTGACGTGCGGCTTGGGCTGCAGTCACATACGGAGCGCAATAGAGCGAGCAGGATAGACTTAACACATAAGCTTATAGGAACGATTCCATCGTGACTACAGCCTTACTTACCTTAAAATTGTTCTGTTGCTGATCGTTTCATCGATCATTTCGTCCCTTTATATGCGCGCGCGCGTGTGTGTATATATAACATGTGGGTATAGGTATAAAGTTTGCAACACACAAATAAAATACACCAACTGAGGTTTTTTCTTTATATTCACGCGAAACTTTATTCTTATACATACCTATACCATTTATGTTATATACACGCAGTGACATCGAGAGATATAAATGAGCAAAAAATTAACGACGAATACAAACAAAGCTATGACAAATACACTGCATGGCAAAATAAAAATTGAGCAGAGGGGAAAAAAAAAAAAAAAAAATACGTGTATGTAGCGAAGCGTGGGGATGGATTTTTAGGCTCACTAGCGGCCGATCTCCCGTAAATTATTCCCGGATCTTCCGTCAAAACAAAACCAATAACCGTATTGACGTATCAAACGTCAACATCCGATTAAATTTGTCATTGTTCGAAACGGTGCCCTCGAGGCGAAAAAAAAAACACCACCGGCGTGGTACCCAACATCCTTACGGTACATAAATTATGTATACATACAGCCGCGGATTTGAATGAAAACCGAGCCGATGCCCGTGGGTGCGCGGGGACTCACCTGTGCCCGTCCCGGCTGCTGCTACTCAAACTGGCGGTCTCGACGTTGCCGTCAAGGTCAAAGGTTGTCTCGTAATTGTGGGCGGGCAGCTGATCCGCGCCAGTGGACACCTGCTGCTGGCTGGCAATGGTCGGACTTCTGGGGCTGGCCATGCCAGTCGAAGATTTGCTGGGACTGGGTGGGTCGGACGGGCTCTGGACCACTGTTCCCCCGTTTGGTGTCGTTCCCATCTTATCCGCCGCCGAGCCAAGTTCCTGCTGGCTACTGCTGTCCGGCGATCGTCTGCATGATGGGCGTGTGTTTTTCCGTTTGTTGTTACGGTGGGATTTTTTTGTTTTTTGTTTGTTCCAGATAGTGGGGAAGGGAGTAAAAATTGGGAGAAAAGGACGTGTGGAGGAACACGAAAAATAAAAAATAAAATCGTGAAACAACTATCGTACCAGTACTAATGATGATTATAATAATAATAATAATAATAATAACAATAACAATAACGACAGCAAAAATCTCATCAAAAAATCTACAGCTAACGCTATACGAGATGTATTGTAAATTAAAAAAGAAAAAAAAGTAAATACAATAAACGTGCGGGTACGGTGTGGATGGATAATAAATTTATGGCTACTTCTGTTCTTTCTCGATTTTCGTTGGAGATCAGGATGCGGTTCATGATTCTCAAACAGCAAATATTGTAGGTACGTTTTTTCTTTCTTTCTTTAAAGGCGATGATGGCGAAACCAGTGGGGAAAAAGTTAAACATAATTTTCCTCGAATAACCTGTATACCGTATGGATTTTAAGAAAAAGTCGTTCAGCTGCGTCGCTATGACATAGGTACCATTGTGTGCTACGAGCAATACATAACATGCAGAAGCGAGACTAGGTATACGAATAGACTTGCCGTTTGCGTCTCGGCAACGAAAATCTATGAAAACGAGCAATACATAAAAAGTACGTATACTTACTGTTGGCAGTTGTGCCAGAGACGACGAGAACGACAGCGCAAACGAGGTACAACAACGATAACGACAATCATAATATTGGCATACATTTGCGCGACTATTATATTAATTTTGATGTACAGAGGGGGGGGGGAGGAGGAGAGAAAAGCATTTGCCGATTCTCTACGATGCACGTGGGTGTTTATGTAACAATATGCTGCGCATACAGGAAAAGTAACAATAGCACGTCAGACATGGTTTGACAGCGCCTCTGTTTCTGTGGGGCTTTGTAAGTAGCTGTCATTTTCGTCTACCCCCCTCCCCCTTTTTTCGCTATGCAAACATTTCTGTACGCGTATACTTAATATCAATGAGCACGCACCAACATCTCCCTCAATGCGTTTTTGACATTCGAGATGAATGACTAATTTCGACAAAATAATGAAATACGGTCATCTATATAAATATATACATATACACATCACGTACCCACCCGATAATAATAATAATAATTACATGTTATAGTTATGTATGTACACTTTGAAAGGTACTTGTCAATAAAACAAATGTCGTTTACCTGCTGTCATACGAGTAATCGATCTGTCGATTGGAGTCGTGGCGTTGCCTGGTTCGCTCCTCCGGGGCCGGATCGATGAATCGGAAGGTATGCATCCGTCCGAATTTAATGATGGCCCCGTTCTGCAATCGAAACAATGACAATGATGATGATGATGATGATAAACTATTGAAGGAACGTGCACATCATCACACACTCCAACTGCAGTAGTAACAATCAACCCGTTGGGCGTATAAGCTTCGCTAAATGTATAAGATGATGGTTTTCATTGATGGATATACACCTACGCTGCACTCGATGCGTTTTTATGTATTTACCAATATAAATGTGGATTACACGCAGGATACCCATGAAAACGTTAAATAAAGTATTACGAGGCTCTGGAAAATAATTATCAGCACACAGTAGGGGAGCTCATCCAAGGGGTCTTGTGATATACTGCAGGGCAATCATAAACACCTATACAAGCATGTACCTATACTTTCATACATTCGACTTGCTCCGCGCGAGCGTATAATTATATAATATATCGGCGGATGTACATAAATAGGAACTGATTGTTCACCTTTGCTACATATAATTTAACATTACATAATATTACATTTACAAATCCACTGCGAATGAACGAACGCTCTATTTCTACTCGAGTTTGTTTGTTTGTTTGTTTTTCCTTCATGGACGCCGATTGACGCTTGATTCGCTCAATTCATATATATATATATATATATATATACACACACATACTTGTAGAGCGCGACTCGACGAAAAAAAAAAAATTCGGTTCGCTGTTGAACGACCGCCCCCGACCTGATCGTAAATACTTGAATACGTGTGTATCTACAAATTGCAAGTACGCGTATAGGTAATTATATACATATTATACGTAGGATTGTCATGGATAGCCGTAAAGCACGTTGTCGAAGAGAAAATGCTGGCGCAATAATTAATGTGGTCAACAACAGAGCTCGCCGGACGCTTCTTTGATTTTTGAGATGAAAGGGGAGAGGATATTGATTAAATTTAAAGCCTGTAAGATCGAGCAGTCGGGCATTATATTTATATAGTTAGCTGTATAGTTTCATCAGTGCAGTTTCAGTTAGACCGGAGAAAAAGACAAATGAAAGAGATACATGGAGGGCCCATAACTTGAACGAAATTGAATGGAAATCAAACTCCATTTTTTTCCAACTACTTGTAATAGAAATTTAAAAACTCCGATTCAAGGACGCGTAGTCGAGTTATATACATATATTACCTAATGTATATTGTTATTGATAAATAAGTTTGACTTGGGCACAAATTGAATCCATTCTCGAGGAAAGTACAAGCAGTAATGAAAATCCAGGGAAAACAATAATTTTTTTGCTCTCAATTGGACCATGTGGCACACAAAGAGATTTGAAATGGAAAATATAGGTTCCTATACTTGGGTAAGTACAAGTCATCAACGAGACTCTTGAATGGGTGGTTACAGCTTAAACTAAACGACAATAAAGGCAGAAACCGAGCTTGGGTTCGGCCCTGCAACTGATTTACTTATTACATGCCAATTATTCTTATTAAGTATGAGACAGTACAGTGTGCGACGTGTGTTTATTGCCGTAGCAGGTGTGTGTATGTGTGCGTAAACAAGGTTTTGTACGTATGTTTAAGTACTTATACACCAACCTATGTTAGCTACGGAAACGTGGACAGACTACCCTGTTGTGTTCTTTTCTTTCTATAAACGTATAATATAACCTTTATCCTACACCCTTAACCAAAAGTAGGAAAAAGTAAGGATAAACATTGGAAATTATTAGTCAATAATCATTGCTCTCTGACTGCAAAAGTATAGAATTTTATTGTTCATATTATATATTTAAAGCCCAGAAATCCGGAAATCCGAAAGCCCGGTATATCTCAAAATGGTAGTTTTCCTACGAGTTTGAAAAGTCTCTGTTTGCGAACCGAGAGGTTTGCGGCCCGAGCCGAAGGCGAGGGACGTAATGATGAAGTTCGTAAAGGAGACTTTTCGAACGAGTTCCGGAAAACTGCTTTTTCGCCCGAGGAAGTACCAGCCTCCCAAAAAATATATTTTCACTACTATTTGTTTTTTGTTTTTTTTTCAACTTCTGAAAAGTAGGAATTTATGGTTTTATGCTTCTGTTTAACGTGTAATCCCTATACTTTTAAGAGTTTATTTTTCAACTTTTGTTAATAAAAGTGTGTACGCGATGGTATTGGTTGGTGGCGCAAAACTTGCAGCTCGTTGCACTTAATCGGTGGTAATTTGTCTCAACTAACCGCGCGCCAAACTACAATTACATACAAAATACTCATACCTAACTTTTCTCACTATAAATACAACACTGCACATTATGTAGGGGTGGGTTAGATGTTATAGTGCCATTATTCAGAGCTCCCGAAATCTCTCGTACGAGTACTACGATATGTAGGTATACTTATACGTATGCAACTTTGCTTAATACTTGAATGCCCGTAAAATTCAAATCCGAGAGTCCCAATTATCGCGGATCACGGCAGAGGTGGTGTTTAATGATGGTAATAAAAAAATCGGTATATTGGGCTGGATGAGGAAAGAGATATAGGTTCGCGATAAATCGGGTTATAATATATAATACATCGTCCGAGTTGCAATACCACAATCGATTCGTTGTCGCTCGTATATTTTTTTTAACAAAGATAAGTTGCTCGATTCTCGAGTTATCCGAGGACTCGAATAACACCATAAATATATGCATCGGAAAGCATGCATCTTACATGTCCCTTACACATAGGTGTGTAAGCCCTGCAGCAGAGAGAGAGAGAGAGAGAGAGAGAGAGAGAGATGACACTTGATCATATATATATTATATCGCACGCTCCCCTCGAGCTGTAAGTGGTGAGCGCGACACCCTCTCCCAGCAGAGCGAGGGAAATCGTCGTCGTAACTTTTAATTTAATCGTATACGACGGTGGTAGTGGTGGGCAGAGGGCGGCGAATCGCACTTCCGAAATTACAAAAGTCTCGCTCGATTGTGAAACATGCAAATGGGCCACGTTGCTCATAGACTTGTGGACACATACATGACAATACACGATACATGTGACCTCGTTAAACTGACGAAATTACGGGGTGTGCATGCACGTTACAATGAATATACTCGATGTATATAATATAGAGACTGCAGGCACTTATTCTATGTATATATATATATATATATATATATGAATCGATGCGCCACTAGGAAGCACCGTTGTATAAAAATTGTAGAAAAAGCAACCTGAAGTATCGTAGTCTGTTGTATCCTCTGGTTATTGACAAAGGTGTGGGCGTCCCTCGAGCAGGGTGTCAAAGTGACAATGTTCTCGGTGAAAGCGATGACGCAGTGCCTCGGCATGACCATGGGCCCGGCTAGGGTGATGGTTTGGGCTTGGACCGCCTGCGGCCCGACCGGGCGCTCGGAGCCGACTTCCGTGACGTTGGGCTGCAGCCGGTGCCGTGCCCCGGCTCCGTTTGCGATTTCCGTACCGTCGGCGTTTAGCTCCTGAAGGAACGGCAGCCGCTCGTCCTCGTACCTGTGCTCCAGCTCGTTCCACTTGCCGGACGGTTTTTTCTTGCGCTTACGCGGCACGTAATCCGCCGGCCGTCGTCGCACGTGGAACATTATCGATCCTGCAGCAATAGAATTAAAAACATTATCATTATTACTTGTTTTTTTTTTAATAGTAGGTACCCGCACTCAGGTACATCGTCATTTATATTACATATGTACAATAAGTATACGTACATCGAGTAATATTATTATTATTATTATTATTATTATTTATAAGGTGCGCAGAGATATATATATATATATACCGCCACATAATATGTATATCAAAAATGATGATAGAACTATACGAAGTGAAAGAAGAGAAGTGCTGTGGTGCACGAGTACACGTAACCATATTGTATAGGTATAAGTACAAGTCGAATCAGGGCAATGAATTGCTATGACAGAGCTGCTTTTACACGGGTTTCCAAATTTCAAATCTGCCCGTATACGTGCATACCTACATTATAATTATATTATTATGGTTACAGCTCACAACTGAACCGCTTTAATTTAATCGGGCAGGCAGATACCGACTCGCATGTCTATCACCCCTGATCTCGAATGACTTGATTTTTCATATACGGATGCAGGTTAATGGATGCAGAGGGGGCAGAGGAGTAGGGGGGGGGAGGAGAAGGAGAAATAATTAAACAGACGGTAAGCACGCCAACTTTATTTTTACCCATAAAGTATAGTTTTACATGTATACGTTTGTACAGACACGAGCGCGCGCAGCATTGACCTTTCACTCGACGGGCATCGATTCACGCTCTCGGTATACTTACTACTTATACTCGTAGCTTTCGAGTCGGAAATTTAATTTTTTTTTTCTCCCTTGTCTCCGGAAGGAACTCGATGGCCATTCACAAATTAAAATTCCCAAGGAAGTATAAGTAAACAGAGGGAAACGTGCGTAACGACCAGACAAGATGTATATACAGATATACCTATAAATAATATGTACACAAACACACACACACACACACACACACTTTCACATGGAAAGTAAAAAACGGCACTGTTTCTCCCAACCCGAGTATTTTAGTGGTAAAGTTTGTACGCGTGCACATATTTAAGTACTCGAGTCATAGCGAACGATAGCGAAAGCCCCGTGGGTTGTCGCTTCCGCTGCTATCGCTGGAAAAAAGAAAGTCGTCGGCCTGATGCTTCTCCTTCCCTTCCTCGTCACATCATCATTAAAAGTACTAGTAAGTACGGACATGTGCATGCTTGACGTACCTTGCCTTGTGGACTCGAACTAACTATTAACACGTATAATATTACAAAGATAAAAGTACATTTTTTTTTATTCCCCACCTAATATTGGCACCTGTGAGTAGTGGGTTAATGTGATACATGTTATATATANTATATATATATATATATTCTGAAATGACCGTGAAAAGACGATGCCGATTGAAAACTATGATGTTCGTACACTTGAAGCTATAACAATAAGGATGTCAACGTTAAAATGACACCTTAAAAATGCTTGAATATTAGCAACATTCATATGGACTCGAAACATTTGTGGTATACTTGAGATGAGTTGAAAATTAGCCTTTGACTTTGGAGTCGGTCCTTGTATTTTTTTCTTGTATCGAGCTACTTGAGTTGAAAGATCAACCTCACCCATTTTGACGTAACAATAAAATAATGTCTCACTGTGCACTCAACTGATGTATACACACATAGTACACGATATCAATGGCATGCTCAGGCAGCACTTTCAAGAGGATTTGAGAGCGAGATGAAAAAAAGAAAAAATGAGAAAACCTTTGTTTCGAACGATAGTACTGCACATTGGCTCCGAATCAACAGCAGAAAGGTTTATTATAAATAATATATAAGGCGAGGTGAGCACATCCCGCCGACTCTCGGGCGTATCTGTGACGTGTACGAGGCTTGGATTTTTCACCGTCTGCGTTTTCCTGCCGCCGCCGCCGCCACCGCCGGCGGTACAACGGGGCTAAAAAATCCCATATACAGTGGTGTCGGAAAGATAACCCAACAACCCAACCGATATATATATATGGGCACACGTTTGTATAACGTTGTATATGTGAAACTTACACACGGTTGTAAGGTAAGTAGTGTATGCGCTATGTGATGTACGTATAATAATAATCACAATAAGAATACGTACGGGCTGGTACTTAATGCACATTATATACAACGCGTAGGTATACGTAATAAGACGAAAAAGTGGAGAACGGCGGAGGGAAATGGGTATACATGTATGTATTTATACATGGGTACGTGTACGTACACACGCGCGCGTGAGGTAAACACTGTTGTGCGTGTGCATGGGCGCGGGGCCGGGAACAAAGGCACACACATCGCCGACGCGTCCAGCAACCGTGACGACAAGTGAGCCCACCACCGAGTTTCTCACGCGTCTCTCTCTTTCCCCCTTCACCCTTCTATTTCCCTCCCATCGACCCTTTTTCATCATCGTCTTGCTCCCACTTCTTCTTCAATTCTTTTCTTCCCTGCAGTATAACAAATAATCCTCCACCAACTTTTAAGTAAGTGTACCCACAATCTTATGTTTATTCTATATTCCATGTGTGTATAATTAATTAGTTCATTCTTCTGCTTGCCAGTAGTTATAAGTGAGGTTTGTCACTCCCATTTTACATGTATATGATATATATACACCACACATCATTATTTTGAGCATGTTGTTCTAATGGTTCGGAGGAGGACGTTTTTCCATATCAAATAAACAATATGCCGTGTATAAATCAACATACTGTTTTGGTTATTGGTATAGAATTGCAGCTTTTGTTTTGCGACTTATTACATTACACCCAATACCTCATAAGTAGGTATACAATGCGTAAGTACTTGGGATTATCTGCTTGTGAAAAGGAATAAAAATTGGTACGTATTGGTACGTCGTGTGTATATTGCTGCTGCTAATTTCTTTGCGCGGCTCGATGAATCGAGGCGTAGGTAGGTAGGTAGGTATATAAGCATTGAAAGAAAAATATGCTTTCTGCACGTATTATGTAGAAAAAAAAAAAAAAAAATCTCTCCCTTAATGTTTCGCGCTTCACTCGGGGCTCGGCTATTTACTTATAATCAATACATGCAAGTACATGTATATACAGAGATTACAGAGTCCCGTAGGTTTTCGATAACTCGGGCATCATGGTTTTATTTTATTTTTTCAATAACGCTTTGCGAGCTCCGAAGCAGAAAATCACGCAGAATCCATATAGAATTATATATAAAATGTCCCCTCGTATATATATATATATATATAT